AGAGAGGACAGTGATCGTTGAGTAAACATGTACTTACCTTAACAAGGATGGAGATCCTGTGTGCATGCGTGGCTGCATATGACCTGTGTGAGAGCTCTCATTTCGCTGACTATCACACCTCTTCATGCTCAGCTGAATCCTAATTTAGCATGCCAACTTGTGGGCTACATGTTACTACACGAAAGCTGGCATGTGGTGAACAATTTTCAAACTGTCTGAAGGAGGATAACTGCAGGAGTAAGGAAGTAAGAAGAAAATGTGAATGGTGGAACCAACTGCTATTCAGTGCTAAAATTCTCTGAAAGTCCCTTTCACATGTTTCAGTTGATCTGCATTTGAGTTCCACTTTGCCCACTGACTGATGAGTGTCAACTGAGGGTTCTGCAGCCCCTGCAGCAGTGTGTGACTCTGAGTGTCTGCATGTGTTTCTGTATGTTTGTGTTTCTAAGCACGTTTGTGTCTGTTTGGAAAAACAAAGGCCCTTGAGGAAAACTGCAACTCAAAATAAACACCTGCTCTTATAGAGCTGGTAACTGGTGGGGAGAAATATTACTGTCCCTAAATGCTAGTTGGTAGAGATAAGAGATAAAAAAAAACAACTTTCTAATATCATTGGCTGATATGTTTTTCTTGGGCTGTATGTACAATCATTTGTAATCACCATTTGCTTCTCTGGGACTGTGGATGAGGACATATTATGCTGCCAAAGGGAAGAATGACTGTTTCCATGCCAAATGACCCTGTTCCTCCCTTTTCTTTGCCTTTTATAGTTGAGGATCACCCTGCTCCCTCATGCTCCTTGGTCCAAAGTTACATAATTTACTTGAGCCTGGGATGGAAACTGGCTGTCTTTCAGACAAACACGTGGGCTACAGCACCCAGGAACATACGTGTGCATAGAAGCGTGTACTGCACACACAAAAATACCATAGGTAATGGTGCAGGACATCAATATAAATAAGACTTTTGCTGAGTATGTTTCCAGGGATCATACCCACTGAACAGTGAATAAAGACGTATATTAGTTCATAAAGCACACACATTCACATACTGAAAGAGATCTATATATAGTCATCTGCATCCACTATCTGCCAAAGAGAGTGACGCAAAGAATTTAACACATGGCCTAATGGACCGAATATCCATCTAATAAATGATGGTTTAAAGCCTCTGGCAAATGGTGGATATTAATATGTGTCTGAGATAGTCTGTTGACCCGAGGACCAAAGACTATCCTCAAAGAGGGAAGACTGAGGACCCTCAGACAGAAGTAAGGGAGGGAGGGGAGAGAGACAGAGAGAGGTGCAAGTGCTGTCACTGAATTATCAGCAGTCTTAATCTGAGGCGTTCAGAGTGCTGCATGTTTGACTGAGGGTGTGTGTGTGTGTGTGTGTGTGTGTGTGTGTGTGTGTGTGTGAGTTTGAGTGTGTGTTCTGCGTCTGTTTAAAAAGGCACTTGGGTCGGTCCCCTGAATATAAGGTAGAGGGTCCAGTCTGGCGCATTTGTACACTTAACCCAAACCTGAGATGGGGCATACAGCTTTCTGGTCGAGGGCACAGGGGTACACAAGGAAAATGACAAGCTAATATGGTGAGACAAATTTCAAGAGGGCAAAGCAATACCAGACTAACAACAGACAGCAAACAAACCACATCAACAACGGCAAAAAACAGTTTCACCTTGCTTTAGGGATGCCTATTTTATTCCTACAGTATTTGATGTTTTAAGCAGCTCTGTAGTGCAAAGACGAGTCTAAATATATAAATGATACCAAGTCTTTGCACAGTGATGAATATGTGTAGTTGAAGCCACCAGATGGAAAAGACAATTTTTTTGAATGGCATAGTAAGGAGATAGAATCCATGGAGTTAATAATTGAAATGACATGGGTATTAGAAAGACTTCAAGGTCTACCAATTAATTTAAAAAGGTGCATGGTCATATCATGGGTAGGGTATATCAAAAAATACCACAAATAAGAGCAAAACTATTTGAAAGCAGACTGGATGCCAGTGAAGAGAGGCCAGAACAGGGGTTATTAGGGTCCAATTTTGTTGTACTTGTCAAGAGACGAGCGGCAGCGCTTTGAACCATCTGAAGATGAGAGAGGGAAAACTGACTGACGCCTGAGTACAATGCATTGCAATAGTCATGCCTGGATAAAAGCAATCTCAAAGTAGATTCAACTCTATTTCAAAGCTCCAACTCAAGAAGTAAAGTTTGTTTTTAACACAGGCATCAAGTTCACTTTTGGTTGTATAATTTGTACAAATTATGGTTAATTGTTTTATCTTATAACATAAAGCAGTTTATACATTTTCATTTTCTGATATGTTGGTCCCTAAAAGAAACAGATAAGACTGAAAAAAACCCCCACTTCTGGCTATTTGACCATCCATGTTATAATGTTCCCACAGGACACAGCCAGAATCTAACGACAAGGTCCAGTCTAATCTTGGTATAAAGGGAATGATGTTTTGAGGTGATGAAGGTATGTGTAAGACAACCTGCAAAAGTCTGTTAATTTGGGAATAGCACTTCAGTAACTGGCCTTTGTAGAAGGATGCCTGCAGAGTGAAAACATGAAATTATGTCAAAATTACTTTGTTACATCACAGACTCTGCTGCACCGCGCTGTGTGCATGACAGTCTCATTTAGACCAGATTAGGGGGTCAAAGGTTTGGTTTGCCCAGCTACACTGCCCCTGTGGAGGTCTCTTCTGGTTCAGGTTTGCCCAAACATGGTAAATACCCAGGACACACGTACACACAACCCATTCCGGTTGATCTATGTGAAGCACTTGAGAAGCCTCTGATTTCAGAAGCATTCAATCATCCTCAGATAAACTCAAGCCTTGGAACATCATATGAAACACTAAAGCCTGTTTGTGCTGGCTACTGCAAAACAGCACAACAGGGAGCCTGGATCAGTGCCTTAAGGGGAGATTAAAATGTTTCAAATGAATTGGATTCTTAAAAGAAATCCAACTGTGGAGTGCACTGTCACTTTTGAAACGTTTGCCATAGATGCAGCCCTCCACCCACTATCCATACCACAAAAGAAATGATTGATAAACAGAAATCTGAGACAAAGAGAAGTGAGCAGGAGGGGGACAGGGGAGTAGGGGGTTGCTCAAAAACACGGGTTTTCTCCCACTGCCCAAATAAGTACCTATTAAAAGAGAAGCCGTGCCATGCTGAGCTGCCGATAAGGCAGCCAGGAGACAGGAGCTGTGAAAATAGAACATGTCCATATAGAGAGGAGAGCTGGGGGGGGAGCAGGATGAGGGCATGGGTTAAATGCTTCCCCAGAATGTGAGTGTTCCACTGTTGTAAGCCCAGTGACAAGAGCCCCCCGAGTCCCTGCTGACTTCCACAGCCTGAGGACTGACTGGGCACAGGCAGCTGAAATATTGCCTAAAGAAATTGCAGCTATTAAACCGGCTCTGTGTTCAAGTGTTATGTTTACCAGTGTTTGAAAACACTAATGATGAGAGACTGGAGATGTTTCATCAGGCTCTTGTAACTTAGTCAACATTAGCCTTTCCCCGGCGGTGAGTTCTTGAGAACAGAAAGAGAAAGAGAAAAACCTGTCTTGACAAAACAAGCACCCCACAGATGTTGCTCCTCTATGACACCACTGGTCTCCATAGCAACTCCACTGGCCAGTAATAGCCTGTAGCTTGCCTAGCTGTAGCAGCGTCATGCTTACGCGCACACACAAACACACATACACAAGCATGTTGCAGCCTCTGAATGGGATCCCAGGGAATATTTATAGAGACAGAGGGGACTCACTAGTCCACCCAGCCCAACCACCACCCCCCTGGCCATACCAAAGAACACACATCTCTTAACAGAGACCGTCTACCCCCATCATTAACAGCCCTGGCCACACAAACATGCACACACCCATAAAAACAGAACAACCAAGTCCCATGATTTTGTAAACAAGCCTCGTAATTGGTGATAACAAATAGCTGGGAATTATACATTAGGGCTGGCTTGTGTTGATGCTTTCCTGGATACATGCAAAAATCACTGGCTAGTTTCTGCTTCATATTAACAGGCATGGGCATTTTAACAAGGACAAAATAAACCTTTCTCTAAATTCATCATGAATACAGAAGTATCAAATGCTGGTGTGTCCATACACAACACAGTTTTAATTGAAGACTGCTGTCAACACGTGTCTTTGGACACATTCTCTTAGAGGAATTATATGGGTGGATTAATGATTAAACAATTCATGGATCAGCATATTGTACGAGTCTAAATTAGTTTTCCTAACTTTTGTGTAAGACCTGCCACAGTGGATGAAATAATCCTGTTCTTTACTTATCCAGTATTTGTACAGCAGATCAGTGTATAACAAAATCAAACCCATTGTTTACTGGCACAAACTGAGGGTTTTAATGAAGTGGCAAATGCATCCACTGAGGAGTTTTTTTGTTTTACTGCTACATGAAGCACTCTTCAGCTCCGTTTTGTTGAGCAGTACAGCAAAAAAAAATAATAATCTAAACTGAACTGAATTTTGTACCATAACTCGATCTGCCAAGCTGCTTCATGATCATCCAGAGGCACAAAGACCTGTCCAAAACTTTCAAAGAAGAATAACAGTGGGTAGAAATATCACTGGAGAAGGCGCCAATTTCGCCTGATCAAAAGGAAATTCTGTTGAAATCCGAGTCCCTATTTTCATTGGGTTACTGTAAGCATGAATCACGCTGCGTTCTGACGCTGTGTAATAATGACATCACATACATCTAACACTGAAGCATGGCAATGTATTATTCATCTTTCCAACGTGGATAAAAATAAAAAGAACACTAATATTCATTTTACTCAGAGGTACCAATACTGTTGCCCTGTCAAGTGCTATCAATGCTGCTGTCACTCAATGCCTTTCTATGTACATTTCTTTAATAAAGGTGACAGCAATATGCAGGTAAAGCCTCTGCACTGCATATATGGAAGCTAAATGTGAGTGTACTTACCAGGTAACAAACAAAAGGGACAGAAGACTGAGGGGAGGGGAACACTGGAGGACAGCACTGGACCACTCTAAAGAGAGACAGAGAAGAAAAGGAAGAGGGACAACAAAAGACAAAAAAGAAATCAGCAACATGTAATTTGCAGATACCCAGTGTGCTGCTGACTTCATTATTCAGCTTCATATTCTACACTTACATTATTAATATAGGCAGCTTTGATGCCTTCAGGGGAGTAACTAACACTTATACACATGAGCATTAGCATACACAACACACTCATGCACAACCCTGTGCTCCTCATCCAATTTGGATTGTGCAGAATTTTAATCATTCTTCTGGCCCTTGAACCTAACAGGAAGCTGCTTCCTTTATGAAAGGCTGCCTTCGTCAGAGAGAGAGGTAGAAATGAGTCGGCAAATTAGACAAACAGCACCACCTCCGCACCTGCACTGCCATACAGTCGCTTTTGAGTGGTGCTGTAGATAAGCTATATCACTCAGGATAAGAAAGTCTGCTAAAAGCTTCAGCTTGAGTCAAGGCGACAGAGCGGAGGACAGCAACAAGGAACAAATTTATAAACAGAAATAGGGATAATCATCCTCATGGCAAAACATCTCATATTCAAACAGTATGTCCTCAAGAACGACAAAACTAGCTCCTTGATGTTTCCTGTGCTTAAGAGTTACTGTGATTCTGCTGGCGTTTCTCCTCACCTTGTCATCATTTTACTTTGCCCAGTGCAGGACAGGAACGGTTCCATTATACAATCACTCTGCAGAATAAACTTTACCAGATAAGCGTACTGGAAAGATTTCAACAAATAAGTGAGGAAAGGTTGCTGTTCTGCAGAAGCATTCACATCTGGGATTATCCTAGCACATTCATGTTGATTTCTGTAAATTTATCCTTTGACTGACCCTTTATTCCATTTTGCAGAGTTGTACCATGCACTTTATTCTTTTAAGTGCATTTTGACTAGAATGAAATAAATAATTCATGAACTACTGTACTCCGATCATAATCTATGACAACAATATTGTAATATTAGCCAAAAGACTGAATAGATATTTAAATTTTAATAACGTTTCTGAATATTTAGTACTTTACTTCCTGTATGGCCATTTCCTGAATGACTGGTCTTTGCAAGAAAGACCATTAGTGATGCTCAGGTGTCTAAATCTCTTGGACATACATCAAAATAAATTTTCAAAGCAAATTTAGTCCCAAAAAGTCACAAGTATGTACGACATCAAACACACACACATACAGTATATACATAAAATTCCCCACTCGCCCCACTTCAGGACGGTCTTATTTCTTCTATCAAGCTTGGGTCCTCTACCAGAGGCCTGGGTCTTGTGCAGTATCTTAGCTGTTCCTAGGACTGCACCACACACACACACACACACACACACACACACACACACACACACACACACACACCACACCCTCACAAAAACCCACAAACATATATACAGCAACCACGATCCTTGAGATGCTTGGCTATAAGTTCAACAAAGGACACAAGTAGCAGTATCCTCCATGGAGAAGGAGGTTGGAGGCCAAAGATCAAGGCAACAAGGAGAGAAATTAGCCAGCTATCAGAATTGCAGAAAGACATGATGAAGAAAGGGGAATCTCAGAAGTACAACACCCTGTCCATACCTGAGGCCTTAGAGACTGCCAAGCAAAGGCTCACACAGCCCTGGCCACCCAGCTGAAGAGGTACACCAGAGAAGTTGAAGCCAGGATAATGTTCTCCACTAAGCCATCCAAGGTGTACTCTCAGTGGCAGGGTAAGAACATGAAAGCAGACCCACCGAGGCGGGAGACTGAACAATTCTGGAAGAACATATGGGAGAAGGAAGCATCACATAACAACAATGCCCAGTGGCCGGG